GTGGGGGGGAAAGGGGGTAGGGAAGCTGGCACTCTGCTGGCAAAAAAAGTGTGAACACATGAGATTCCGCGTTGTGTGTATGGCCAGAAAACAAGAGAGAGAGAAAAAAAAAGGGGGGGAAGGGGAATAACAATAAACAAACAAAATCATCCGCATCATTCAGAACTCTGACAAGAATAAAACCCTTTCCCTCCCACCCCCCCTCTCTCTCTCAGTCCAGCTTTGAAAAAAAAACACGGTTGGTTTGTGGGGGAGGGAACAAGGAGAAAGATAGGAGAATCAGAGTGTTTTTGCCACAACAGAAAACATGGTTCTTCCGTCTCTTTTTCCTCTCCTTCTTTCCCCACCCTCGGCAGTTCTCTTTCTTTCTCTCGAGGGGGAGATTGACTCTCAATTCATACAAAACATAAGAAGCAGCGCATCGACGAGCGCGCCGTCGAATCCATCGTGGCGATGCTAGGCCAGCGGCGCGGCAGGCGGCTGAAACGTCTGGGTAATAGCTTCGCTGCCCTCGGCCTCAACGCTGCTCTGGTGGAGCTGTGCAATCTGGCCTGCCATGGTCCGTAGCGCCTCGCGGGTAGCGTCAATGTTGAGCTCGCCGCGTTCAGAGGCTTCTTTGAGATACTGCTCCCACTCCGGGTCCATGGGAATATTGCTGAGGGCTGCGGCGGGTGAGGAGCCGGCTGCTGTGCTGGATTCGCGCAAGGCGGCGGCGTGGAGGAGGCGGGCGTTGAGCGAGAAGCCAATGGATGAGTTGAGGTGGGGGAGTTCTTCGTCTTCTTCCGACGACGACGCAGAGGAATCGTGCTCGTTTTCGTCTTCCGAGTTGGCGCCGTTGGACGAGGTGGTTGTCGTGGGTGAATCCGGCATTTCGGTATCGTGTTGTGTGGGGGGGCGGGCCGACGAAGTGGTGGTGGTGGTGGTGGTGGTAGTGGTGATATTTGATGATGATGCTCGGGCGTTGTGATCGCTGCGCTGGTGCTGTAGTTGCTGGATTTCGACCTCAATGTCCGTCTTTATGTTGATGCCGGGTCCTGTCCGCGCATAATGTGATCGCCGGTCGACCCAGGCGCCGATCTCCACACCCGTTGTGTCGACTACTCGCACTCCTTCGTCGCGCTCATATCGCTCGCGCGCCCAGAGCGTGCCTTCCCACCGGCAGAAGCCCTGAATCTCTGCCTCTGTCAAGCCGAGTTTGTCAAAGGCCTCGAACAGCCGCCTGTGGTGCGGGAAGCGGCCGAGACGTTTCCGGTGCGGTTGGAAGGCGTAGTTGAGACCTGGGTAGCGCGCCTCGATGGTGTCGAGCGAGCCGTAGAAGTTTGCAGTTTCGATGCGAACCTCACCGACGAGGTTCTTGGAGAGGTGAGCGGAGAAGGAGGGCGGGTCTGTGGGCGAGGGCGTAGGGAAGAGCGTGTTGTAGACAAGCACGCTGATGGGGTTTTTGCGATGCATGGTCGCAGTGTGGATGTGTGTGCTGTGTGGGTGGGTGTGTTGGTTATGCGGCTGGCTGTACTGTGACTCCGGCCGTGTGGGTGTGAGAGGGAGGAAGGGAGGCGAGGTGGAAAGCGTGGGTGAGTGTTGTTGCGGACGGTGGCAGGGTGCGCGCCGGGGCGAGTCCGTGGGGGAGTGGGTGGGTGTGTTGAGAGAGAGAGGGTGAGAAAGAGCGAGATTGGGTTGAATAGATGGACGCTGCCTTGGTTGCTGCTGCTGGTGGTGCTGCGGAGGCGTGACCTGTCCACCCGCCGCTTCTCTGCTTGCCTGACTGCACTTTGTGGTGTAGGTGAGGGCGGCGTGTGTGTATGCTGACCTCGGGCGTGACCGCTGTTTTGCCTCTCTACCTGCCCGCGTTTCTGCGCCTGTCTAGCTCTCCCACTAGTGTCAGACGCTTCGTGGATAGGCGTGTGCCCCGGGTACCTGACAGCTGCCCAGCTGACTTTTGGCCGACAGCCCTTGCGCTTGCGGGTGCTGGATCTGGAAGACGGGGGATCTGGGCAGGATTTCAATGGGCGCGAGGCGTTCTGTGTGCAGATCGCCGGATAGTAGGGCGAGAGAAGAGAGCAAAGGGCTGCGGCGTCTTATGGCTGCTCCGCGCGCTATGCTGCAGATCGCTGCGGGCCACAAGAAGGAGACGACGACGACCCCGGCTTTTTCTGATGGGAAATTTGGTCGGGATAGTAAGGGCCAAGTGCGGCGTTTGTGACGAGAATGCGGCACGGCGATGCAATGGCGACGTGCTGCCGTGGGCCGGAACACGACGACCACACAACCGGTAAGGGGGGGGAGGGGCGAAGAGCGAGCCACGAGTCCGAGACCGAGACGGGGAGCGAGGGCGAGAGAGAGGGCGAGCACGAGGATCACGACGTCCAGAAGACCAAAGAGACACAGTCAAGTCGGCGACAGGCAAAGGGGCGCTGGGTGGCATATAAGCCGCATGCAACCACGTTCCTCTCACACGCCCACACCCATTCACCGCCAACGCATGCACGTTTGGCTGTCGCCATTTCATTCTGCATCGTAACAGAATGCCACCCATCGAGCAGCAGGGACCAGACCCTGAAGCAGCCATGCGCCTCACCCACACACACCAACCCATCTCCAGTTTTTTGTTCTTTGCCCACGCCTGGCCCACTCATTCGCCTCGCCGGAAAACTTAGCACACGACACTAGGTCCCTCCATCGGCCCCCGATGGCAGCCGGTCGCTCCACCGACAAAACAAGCCTACCGCGGCCCGTCTTGGTTGCCTGTCACACAAGAAGGAAAAGAAGAAAAGAAAAAGAGACAGAGAGGGCACGACAAACCTGCCGCAATCTCTCTCATCTCCCAGCAAAGAAAGAAGAAAAAAAAGCGGCAGCTGAGTTGTTCTCTCACCACGCATGAGCACAAAGCCTCCCCATAGGTCCCGCCCGTCTTTCCGGGGCCCGCAGCAAGTCCTCGAGACATGGATGCCGCGGGACGAAGCATGCACGAGGAACGACTGGTCCAGCTCCCTGTGTTCCACTGCACGCTGCATTCTGTCCTGCACGCCTGCGCCAAACCGCTCATGGTCCTATGCACGCCAAGCTTTGCGCTGGACAAACTGCTGCATCACCCTTTCCCTGGTAGACGCTGCAGCCGGGCCCGACTCAACTCGAGTGAGACAAAGCATCCCTACATAGACGCAAGGGGTCAAAACGGCCCTCACCAAGAGACGTCTGCCTGACTGGTGGACCGTGGGTACTTACATACACTCCGTGCCATGCCCGCCCTGTGGAGAGCATGGAGTCCCATGCCGAGGATCGGCCCTACCGTTCCGTCGCCGGTTTATTCTTGGTGCCCGTCGTACATACTCACATACGCTCCTCCTCCTGCTTCTTCTTCTTCTTCTTCTCCTCCTCCTCCTCCTCCTCCTCCTCCGCTCGGCCTCTCTCTCGCCTCTCTGTGCGTGTGTGGATGCCTTTGGAAATGTTTTCTTCTTCGTACTTTCTAGTTTTGAGTTGATGTGATTTCTGAACACTGCCACTCTTCTCCCGGTACCTTACTGGACGTATATGTCTTGCGAGCCAGCTTTGCAACCAAGACATGCCAGGGCCGGCCGCGACCTGATTCGCTTCACTCGGTCTTATATTCCGGGTCCATCTCCGCTGACATGATACTAATCGATCACTTATAGTAATCATTACTCGTTGTAGCTAATTGCGACAGTCTTCTTGAATCATTGTCTCCTGACTAGTAAAAGTATTGCTTTTGTTTGTCCCCGATACTATCTAATGTTGTAACCGGGTTAACACAACAAAAAACCAGAGGCCATAGTGGGAGACATTGAAAGAGTTTTACATACTTATGTCGATCGACCAGCCAAGTACAACATGAATCCTCTGTCAAATCTGACTACTTTTAATCCCTCATGTTGAAGCATGACACGACAATCAAGTCTAACTACAAGGATGCTTTTGCGCCTGAAGCCGATGAGTGGTGTAGTTGTACAGGGGATGGGTCAATAATTATGATCATCGACATCACACTATAAGAACTGTTTCCACATTAGTCCAGATGCGACATTTGGACAATACCTTGTACAACTTCCAGCCCCTTGTTTGTATTCATGACTTGTACATCTCACTAGACAAGGTGTACGCGTAGCATCAGGCTAGGGGGGTACACATGAAAACTCACATATACAGCAAAACACTGTAGCTGTATGTATGCTTGACATGCGTGTATCCAATGACAAACAAAAAACACGAATCAAACACTTGTCATTTATAGTCATTCCCTGTAGCAACTAAAACACACGCACATATATATATATATACGTGCTTGGGTATCTCCCCACCATTGGCTACAACTAGTCTAGGCCAGTATATGCAGGGTTCTCCACCCATTTACACATGCTAATTGCAAC